TTCCTCTGCTATCTTCATCCCAGAAAGGTACCCACCAGATGTCAGCCTGAGCTCCCCTTTATGAGGTGTCTCTTTGGATATACAGGGGTTAGGGAGCTGCTTGAGGAGACAGTCTGTCCCTTATAGGAGCTCGGGTGCTGTGCTGGGAGCTCCACTGTTCCTTGCAGAGCTGCTGGGCAGGTACCTTTAAGTCTGCTGCAGCTGAACTCTTATCCACTTCTTTTCCCAGGTGCTGTGTCCTAGGAAGGTTGGCTTTATTTATAAGTCCCTGTTATGCTGCTGCCTTTTTTTAGAGATGCCCTGCCCTACATGGAGTAGTCTAGTCACAATCTGCCAGCAGAGGCATTGCTGAGCTGCTGCAGGCTCTGCCTTCCTGCTGTGTAAACTGACTCGGTTGTGGCAGACTGCCTCAGTAGTGGGGGATACCCTTCCCCCATCCAATCCCCGAGCTGGACAGTCCTGGGTCCAGCTGCACTTGCTGTGAAACTCTGAATCCAGAGCATTTCAGATTGCTTGTTTTGTGGGGGTGGTACCCACCCATGGAGCCAGATCCCTTGGCTCCCTGTCTTAGCCCCCTCCCTTTCAGTTGAATGGGCAGCTCTTTCTCCCAGGTGTCCTGGCTTGTGTGAGTTTCTTTGCATCCATGACACAGCACTAGCTCAAACCGGTGCACTGAAAACACGTGGCGCTTTTTGGCTGGGAATCTCCTGGTCTGTGGGCAGTGAAAACCTGTTTGGAAATGGGGTGAGCACTCACACTGCGCCGCTCTCACTGGGAACTGCATTCCAGAGCTGTTCCTATTTGTCTGTCTTGGATTGCTTCTCTACAGTGCATTATTTATCATAGTCACCAACTGTGTAATAGATCACTAAAGCGTATTCCTCCTAACTGAAAATTTGTATGTGCTCTTTGATCAACAGCACCTCTTTGCCCCTCCCCCGGACTCTGGTAACCATCATTCTACTCTTTACTTCTAAGAGTTCAACTTTTCAGATTATACATGTAAGGGACATTATGCAGTATTTGTCTTTTTGTTCCTGGAATATTTTGCTTAGCATAATATCCTTTAGGGTCGTCCATTTTGTTGCAAATGACAGGATTTTCTCTTTTTTTTAAGGCTGGGTGGTGGTCCATTGTGTTTATACACCATGTGTTCTTTATCCATTCATCTCATAATGGACACCTAGGTGGCTTTCATATCTTAGCTATTGTGAATAATGCTGCAGTGAACATGAGAGTACAGTTAGGTCTTCAGGCTACTGATTTCAATTCCTTTGGGTATATACCCAGAAATGGGATTGCCAAATCAAATGGTAAGTCTATTTTGAGTTTTCTGAGGAACCTCCATCCTGTTTTGCATAATAGCTGTATTTGCAAAAGGGCTCCCTTTTCTCTACACTCTCACCTACACTTATCTTTTGTCTTTTTGATAATGGCCATTCTAACAGGTGTGAAGTGATACATTATTGTGGTTTAAATCTGCATTTCCCTGATGATCGTGGACGATGAACATTTTTTCAAGTATTTGTTGGTGATTTGTAAGTCACCTTTTGAGAAATATCTGTTTAGGTCCTTTGCCCATTTTTTTGATAGGGTTTTTGGTTTTTTGCTTTTGAGTTGTTTCTTATCTATTTTGGATATTAGGCCCTAATTATATCTGTGGTTTGTAAATATTCTCTCGCAATCCATGCATTGTAAGCTTTGCTCTGTTGTTTCCATTGCTGTACAGAAGCTTTTTTGTTTGATGCCGTCTTATTTCTTTCTTTTTGCTTTTTCCTGTACTTTTTGAAGTCATATTCAAGACATCTTTTTGCAGACCAATGTTGTAGAGCACGTTCCTAGATTTCTTCTAGTAATTTTATAATTTTAGGTCTTACATTTCAGTGTTTAATCCATTGTGAGTTGGTTTTTTTTACAGTGTGGGATAAGGGTCCAGCTTCATTTTTCTGCTTGTGAATATCTACTTTTCAAAGCACCACTTATTGAAGAAATTGTCTTGTCTCCACTGTGTGTTCTTGGAAGTTTTGTTCAAAATCCATTGATGATAAACATGTAATTTTATTTCTCAGCTCTATATTCTGTTCCATGGGTCAGTGTGTTTATTTTTATACCTGTGCCATACTCTTTTGATCAGTACAGCTTTGTCATAGATTTTGAAGTCAGATAGTGTGATGCCTCCAGCTTTGTTCTTTTTGCTCAAGATTACTTGGGCTGATTTAGGTGTTTTGTAATTTCATACAAATTTTAGGATTTTTTTTTTTTCTATTTCTGGGAAGCATGACATTGGAATTTTGATAGGGATTGCATTGAATTTGTAGATCTCTTTGGTGGTGTTTTAGTCTGTTCTGTGCTGCTACAATGGAATACAACAGACTGGGTAATTTACAGTGATCAGTAGTTTTATTTGGCTCACTGTTCTGGAGGCTGCAAAGTCCAAGACCAAAGGGCTGCAGTTAGTGGTGAGGGCCTTCTGCAGCCCTTTGGTCATAATGTGGTCATAACATGCTATAACCATAACATGGACATATCATTTGTCATAATATGGCAGAAGATGTCACATGGCATGAGAGAACAAGAGAAGGTTGAAATTACTTTTATAATAAACCCAATCATGATAAGGAATCCACTTTGTTTTGCATGCGTTTTCTACTTTAAAAGTTTTGGTGACTGATAAGAATCCGCTTACTTAATATCACTAATTTACTAATGAGAGCACAGCCCTCATGATACCTCTTAAAGGTCTCACCTCAAACACGGTTGCATTGGTGATTAAGTTAGCAACACATAAGCTTTGAGACACAATAGCAGGTAGTACAATAGCAGGCTCTATGAACATTTTAACAGTATTAAATACCGTGATTAAATACTGGATACCTTTCCATTTATTTGTATTGTTTGCATGTTTTTCATCACTGTTTTGTAGTTCTTACTGTACAGATATTTCACCTTCTTTGGTTAAATTTATTTTATTTTATTGTTTGTTACTATCGTGAATGGGATTGATTTCTTAATTTCTTTTTCAGATAGTTGTTGGTATAACAAAATGCTGATTTTTGTATGTTGGTTTTGCACCTTACAACTTTACTGAATTCATTTATTATAACAGTTTTAGGATGGAGTTTTTAGGATTTTCTAAAGATTATGTCATCAGCAAACAGACACAATTTCACTCCTTTCTTTCCTATTTGAGTGTTTTTTATTTCTTGTCTGATTGCTCTGGCTAGAACTTCCAGTACTGTATTGAATGGAAGCATAGGAGTGGGCATCCTTGTCCTGTTTGTGACCTTAGAGGAAAGGCTTTTGATTTTTGGCTGTTGAGTATATTAGCTGTGGGCTTTTCAGCCTTTATTGTGTTGAAGTACATTCTTCCTATGCCAAATTTTTTTGGGAGTTTTTATCATGAAATGATGTTGAATTTTTTCAAACACCTTTCTGCATATATTCAGATGTTCATATGGTATTGTTGTTTATTCTCATAAATCTGGTGTATCACATTTATTGATCTGCGTATCCTTGCATTCCTGAGATAAATCCCACTTGATCATGGTGAATGATCCTTTTTAATATACTGTTAAATTCAGTTTGCTAGTATTTGGCTGAGGATTTTTAACATCTATGTTCATCAGGCATTTTTGATTCTAATTTTCTTTTCTTGTGGTGTCCTTATTTGGCTTTGGTTTCAGGATAATGATGGCCTCATAAAGTGAGTTTGGAAATATTTCTCCTTCAGTTTTTTGGAAGAGTTTGAGAAGAATTAGTATTAGTTCTTTTTGAAATGTTTGGCAGAATTCCACCACGAAGCCCTCCTGTCCTAGGCCTTTCTTTTGAGGGAAATATTTTAGTATTGAATCAGTCTCTTTACTCATCTCTTCATACGTTTTATTTCTTCTTGATTCTGTCTTGGTAGGTTGTATGTTTCTAGGAATTTTGTCAACAAAATTTCAATTTGTTGACATGTAACTGTTCATTGTAGTCTCTTATGATCCTTTGTATTTCTCTTATCAGTTTTATTAACTCCTCTTTCATTTCTGATTTTGAGTCATCTTTTTTTTTTTCTGTCTAAATGTTTGTTGATTTTGTTTACCTATTCAAAAAACCAATTCTTCATTCTATTGGTCGTTTTGTTGTCTTTCTAGTCTCTATTTCATTGATTACTGCTCTGATTTTTATTATTTTTTCCTGCTATTGACTGTGGGCTTAGTTCTTCTTTTTCTAGTTTCTGAAGGGTTAGCATTAAGTTCTTTATTTGAGATTTTCTTATTGCTGTAGACATTTATTTCTAACAACTTCCCTCTTAGGACTGGTTTTGCTGCATCCTGTAAGTTTTAGTATGTTGTGTTTCTGTTTTCACTTGTCTTAAGATATTTAAAAAATTTCTCATTTGATTTCTTCTTTGATTCATTGGCTGTTCAGGACCATGTTGTTAATTTTCATGTATTTGTGAGTTTCCAAAATTCCTCCTGTTACTAATTTCTCTTTTTATGCCATTGTGATTGGAAAAATACTTGATGGTATTTTTGACCTTGTTTTCTATCTAAGATTATCTGGCAGACTTAGAAAACATTTATGTCTTTCATATTGATGCATAAGAGATGTACATAATTTGGGGATACATGTGATAATATATTCACATAATTTATAAAGATCAAATCAGTGTAATTGGGATGGCTATCATCTTAAATGTTTGTCTTTTCTTTGTGCTAAAACTATTGGAATTTTTTTCTTCTAGCTCTTTTGAAATATACAGTAGGTTATTGTAAACTATATCCACCCTACTGATCTATCTAACACTGAGTCTTATGAGATCCACTAAAAAATTTTCCCACATATGAGTGAGAATATGTGATATTTGTCTTTCTGTGCTTGCCTTATTTCTCTTAATATCCTTCTCCAGTTCAATTCACATTGCTGAAAATGACATGATTTCATTACTTTTTATAGCCAAATAATATTCTATTGTGTATATACACTATTCTTTTTTTTTTTTTTTTTTGCTGGTACACAATGATTCAACTTTTATTAACTAGCATCTTACATCTTAAAAGAGAAAAAAAAAAAAAGACAAATGAGGTGGCAGAGCTAGGAGATCTCCCTGAGCAAACATAAACAGAAGCAGACAGGGCTCAAGAAGCCATCTGAGCACAGGGAGGCAGCACCCTTTGGGAATGGGCCTGAACCCAGGCATGCTTCAGGATCTGAGCCAGGGGCAGTCGCTCCAAGGGCTGGTATCTGAGAAGCTTGGAAATCAAGTCCTGGGCCCCTACAGGCATTGATAGTGGAAACCTCACATCCACCTTGAGGATGCCTCTGTAAGTCTCACTGTGGGAGGTGCTCTCAAAAGGTGGATATCCAACCAGCAGCTCATAGCAAAGCACTCCAATGCACCACAAATCCACCTTTTCATCATATGTTTTCCCCTCAGTCATTTCTGGGGGCAAGTAGTCTAGTGTCCCACACAGTGTCTTTCTCCTCAGGGAGGGGGTGTGCACAGACCAGCCAAAATCTGCAATCTTCACCTCACCCCTGAACCCCAGCAGTAGGTTCTCTGGCTTAATATCTCTGTGAATCACTTTCTTCTCATGGCAGTAGGTCAGGGCATCTGCCATCTCCTCCATTATCGTGGCTGTGCACTGTTCATCTAATTTCTCGCTTTTTTGCAGCTCCTTGTAGAGCTCACCCCTCGGAGCATATTCCAGAATCAGGAACACCCAGCGTGCATCATGGAAGTAGTTATACAGGCGTAGAATATTGGGGTGTCTGGGAGCGAGTGAGGGGAGAACAGGACAGGAACCAGGATTTGGGTGTCTGCCCCAGGGTGGGAGCTCTAGGTAGTGTAAATGGAACAAACTGCAGAAAAAAGTTGTAGATGCGCCTGGATCTCAATTTCCCGGCGCAGCTGGTGCTCCAGTCCTTCCTTCTCTATCTGCGACTTGAAAACAACCTTCAGGGCCACGATGAAATGGCTTTCCTTGAGCCGAGCCAGGTATACATTCCCAAATTTCCCCTTGCCCAGGGGACGCCAGATTTCAAAGTCATCGATTGTGAGGCACCGCCCTACGTTCCTCAGGACAGTAGTGCTGGGTCCCAGGAGCCAGCACGCCACACACCTGTCCTTCATCCCCGCATCCCACCTCCCTTCCTTTTCCAGATACCAAACCCAAGGTGCTCACATGGTTGGGTTGCTGGGCTGCTGGGTTGTTTGGCTTGCTGCAGCCACCGCTTGGCCTAAAGGCTGAGCTGTGCCCGGCGGGACCGCAGCTCCCTGGGAGCTCATGGGGACTAGAGGTGAGGGCGCGGACGCCTTCCTGAGCTCTCTGGATGGCTGTCCCCATTCACAGGGTCCCGAAAGGGGTTGGGGGTCCCTTTACCGCCGAGGCGCTTCCGAACCCGCTAGTCCAGCGGCCTCACCTAGGCCCTGACGCGAGCAGGCTTCGGGGTCCGCGGCCTCACCGACGCCCCGACGCGAGCAGGCTCCGGGGTCTGCGGCGTCCTGCCACTAATCTTAAATCTGTCTGTTAATGGACACTTAGGTCAATTCTATATTCTGGCTACTGTAAATTAGTACTGCAAAAAACATGGAAGTGTGGATATTTCCTCAATGTATTTTCTTTGGGTATATACCTAGTAGTGGAATTGCTGGATTATATTTTTAGTTCTAGTTTCTTGAAAAATCTCCGTACTGTTCTCCAGAGTGGCTTTACTAATTTATATTTCTACCAACAGCATACGTGGGTTCCCTTTCTCTGCATCCTTGCCAGCAGCATCCATTATTACCTTTTTGGTAAAAGCCATTTAACCGGGGTGAGATCATATCTCATTGTATTATGATTTGCATTTCTCTCATGATTAGTGATGCTGAGCATTTTTTCATACAGCAGTTGACCATTTGTGTGTCTTCTTTTGAGAAGTGCCTGTTCAAATCTTTTGCCCATTTTTAAATCAGATTGGATTTGTTCTTATTTTGTTTTGCCACTGGGTTGTTTGAATTCCTTTTGTATTCTGGTTATTAATCCCTTATCAGATGAGTAGTTTGCAAATATTTTCTCCCATTCTGTAGGTTGCCTCTTCACTTTGTTTATGTTGCTGTGCAGAAGCGTTTTATCTCAGCATGATCCTGTTTGTCCACTTTTGCTTTTGTTGTCTGGGCTTTTGAAGTCTTACACACAATCTTTGCCAGACCAATGTCTAGTAGCATTTTTCCAGTGTTTTCTTCTGGTAGTTTTATAGTTTCAGGTTTTAGATTTAACTCTTTAATCCATTTTGATTTGATTTTTGTTTACATTGAGAGATAGGAATCTAGTTGCATTCTTTTGCATACAGTTTTCCAGTTTTCCCAGCATCATTTATTGAAAAGACTGTCCTTTCTCCATTGTATATAGTTCTTGGCACATTTGTTGAACATTAATTGGCTGTAAATGTATGGGTTTATATCTTGGGTCTCTGTTCTGCTCCATTGGACTCTGTGTCTATTATTATGTCAGTACTGTGCTGATTTGGTTACTATAGCTTTGGAGAAAAATTCAAAGAAATTTTTGATAGTTTGATGCCTCTAGCTTTGTTCTTTTTGCTCAGGATTGATATTTTTCAGGCTCTTCCATGATTCCATATAAATTTTGAAACTTTTTCTGTGGAAAAAAAGTTGTTGGTATTTTGATAGGGATTGCACTGAATTTAGAAATTGCTTTGGGTAATACTGTCATTTTAACAATGCTCTCTTCCAGTCCATGAGCATGGAATATCTTTCTGTTTTTGTGTGTGTGGCTTCAATTTCTTTCATTAGTGTTTCATAATGTTTCTTGTATAGAAACTTTCACTTTTCATCTTTCACTTCTTTGGTTAATTTGATTTCTACATATTTTATATTATTTGCAGCTGTTGTGAATGTGATTACCTTCTTGATTTTGTTCCAAATGTTTGCTGTTGGTACATATAAATGCAACTGGTTTCTGTATGTCTACTTTGTATCCTGCAACTTTCCAAAACTTGTTCATCAGTTCTAACAGTTTTTTGGTAGAACCTTTAGGTTCTTTTAGGTAAAAGATCAAGTCATCTGAGAACAAGACTAATTTGACTTCTTCCATCCAATTTGAATGCCTTTTATTTCTTTCTCTTGCCTAATTGCTTTGGCCAGGACTTCTATTACTATAGTGAATACAAATAGTGAAAATGGGTATCCTTGTCTTGCTCCAGATCTTAGAGAAAAGGCTTTCAGTCTTTCCTATTCAGTACAGTGTTAGGTGTGGGTTTGTTATACGTGACCTTTACAATTTTGAGATATATTCCTTCTATACCAATGTCGATGAGAGTTTTTATCATAAAGGGATGTTGAATTTTATTAAATGCCTTTTCAAAATTTCTTGAACTAATCATATAATTTTTCTTCTTGGAGCTATTGATGCGATACATCGCATTTCTTGACTTGCATAGGTTAAACTATCCTTCTATCCCTGGAATGACTCCTACTAATTAATGGTAAATGATTTTTTAATGTATTGTTGAATTCCATCAGTTAGTATTTTATGGAGAATTATTGCATCTATGTTTATCAGTAATATTGGCCTGTAATTTTCTCTTTTCCTTGTGTTCTTTTCTGATTTCTGTATCATGGTAATGCTAGCTTCATTTTCTTAGTCTAGCTAAAGGCTTATCAATTTTGCTTATCTTTTCATAAAACCAACTTTTATTTTGTTGCTCTTCTATATTGTTTCTTCAGTTTTCATTTTATTTACTTCTGCTCTCATCCTTGTCATTTCTTTCTTTTTGCTAGTTTTCAGTTAGGTTTTTTTTTTTGCTTTTTTAGTTCATTGAGGTCTATTGTTAGGTTGTTTATTTGAAGGCCTTCTTTTTTTTGATACATGTACTATTACTTAAAATAAGAAATAGCTTATTGAAGCCCTTACAATAAGCAATAGCTTTATTTGAAGCCCTTCTACTTTTTTTGATATACCTGCTATTGCTTACAATAAGCACATATATCAAAAAAGTAGAAGGGCTTCAAATAAACTTCCCTCTTATTACTGGATTTTGTTATATAGATTTTGATATGTTTTATTTTCATTTTAATTTGTTTCAAGAAACTTTTACATTTTCTTCTTAATTTCTTCATTGATTTATTGGTTGGTTAAGAGCATGTTGTTTAATTTTCATGTCTTTTTGACATTTCTAAGGTTCCTTTTGTTAATGATTTCTAGTTTTATTTCATTGTAATCAGAAAAGATACTTGATAGGGTTTTTACTTTTTAGAATTTGTTGAAACTTGTTTTGCACCCTAAGATATGATCTATTCTGGAGAATCCATATGCTGACAAAAAGAATGTATATTCTGCAGCAATTGAGTAAAATGTTCTGTCAGTCAGGCCTACTAGGTCTAGTGTGTAGTTTAAGTCTGATGTTTCTTTGTTGATTTTTTTTTTTGAGACAGAATTTCACTCTGTCATGCAGTGGTGCAATCTCAGCTTACTGCAACCTCCACCTCCTGAGTTCAAGCAATTTTCCTGCCTCAGCCTCCTAAGTAGCTGGGACTACAGGCATGTGCCACCATTCCTGGCCAGTTTTTTGTATTTTTAGTAGAGATGGGGTTTCACCTTGTTAGCCAGGATGGTTTTGATTTCCTGCCTCAGCCTCCCAGAGTGCTGGGATTACAGGTATGAGCCATCGCTCCCAGACCTTTGTTGATTCTTTTATATCTGGAAGATCTGTCCATTACTGAGAGTGGGATGTTAAAGTCCTATACTGTTTTTGTTTTGCAGTCTATCTTTTGCTTTATCCCTTTAGGTCTATTAATGTTTGTTTTATAAACTTGGGAGCTTAGGTGTTGGGTGCATAGATACTTAATATTTATAATTATTATATCCTCTTGCCTAATTGACTGCTTTATCATTATGTAATTACCTTCTTTGTCACTTTTTAAGGCCTTGATTATAGTATATTTTATCTGATCTATGTATAGCTAGTAATACTCTTTTCTGGTCTCTAGTTGATATATCATTTTCCACTCTATCATTTTCAGTGTATGTGTGTCATAGGTGAAGTGGGTTTCTTATAGGGACTGTATAGTTCTGTTATGTTTCTTTATTCAGCCACTTTATGCCTTTTAATTGGAGAATTGAGTCCATTTATGGTCATTATTATTAAGTAAGGACTTATTGCTGTCATTTTGTCACTTATCTTCTGGTTGTTTTGTAATTCCACTCTTTCTTACTGTCTTCCTTTATGGATAAGTGATTTTCTCTAGAATGTTTTAATTCACTGCTTTTTATTTTTAGTGAATCTATTATAGGCTTTACCATGAGGCTTAGAAAAAAATATAACAAGTTATTTTAAAGAGATGATAACTTAGATCACAAAGAAAAAAAAAACCCAAGAAAAAAATGAACAAACTTTATTCCTTCTCTCCACCCCTCATTTTGAGCTTAAATTGTCTCAATTTGCATATTTTTATATTGTCTATCTCTTAACAGGTTGCGGTAGCTATTGTTTTTGATAGATTTGTCTCTTGGGCTTTGTGCCAGAGGTATGAGTGGATTACACATTGTAGTTATGGTACTAGAATATTCTGTGTTTGTTCATGTATTTTATTTCGCCAGTGGGTTTTATGCCTTAAAAATTTTTTTAATGTTGATGTTTTCTATTTCAGATTGAAGAATTTCCTTTAGCTCTTTTTGTAAAACTAGCCTGGTAGTGGTGAATTAGCTTGGCTTTTTTTTGTCAGGGAATAGACTTCAATCTGTCCCTCATATTTGAAGGAATAGTTTGCTGGACACAGTATTCTTGTTTAGCAGAGTTTTTTTTTCATTACATTTAGAACTTTGAGAATGTCATTCCACTCTATACTGGCCTACATTCTTTCTGCTGGGGTGTCTCTTGTCAAATTGGAGCTCCTTTATATCTTACTTGCTTTTCTTTCGTTGCTTTGGAATTCGCTATGTGTCCTTGACCTTTGAGAGTTTGATTATTATATGACTTGGGGTAGTATTATTTGGCTCAGTTCTATTTGGTGTTCTCTGACCTTCCTGTAACTGGATATTAATATCTTTCTCAGGTTTTTGAAAGTTTTTAATGTTATTTATCTTGTAGACAGTCTTCCCTGCTTTTCATTCTTTGTTCTCTTAAATTCGTTAAAGCTTGTTTTGTGGCTATATTAGTCTGTTTTCATGCTGTTGATAAAGATATACCCAGGACTGGGTAATTTACAAAAGAAAGAGGTTTATTGGACTTACAGTTCCATGTGGCTGGGGAGGCCTAACAATTGCAGCAGAGGGTGAAAGTCAGGTCTCACGTGGCAGCACATAAGAGAAGAGAGCTTGTGCAGGCAAACTCCCCTTTCTAAAACCATCAGAT